TACAGTCCTGTGTGACGCCATGACTGACGCAAAATCACGCACAACGACAACGGTATTTATCAGAATTTCTGACTATTTCCGTTTGTTTCAATGAAAACTATAACAACAACTAACAGCACATAGGTTGTCAGAATGTTTCTGATTACTTACATGTCACATTTATGTATATATACGATCCCTGAATCAACAAAAGTCCCCTCGTAAAATCCCACGTACTGTTGACAGTGAACACGCCATTTGGTAATAGTCGGACACAGGTAGTGATGTCATATGTCAACATTGTTGTACATATTTGGTAATTTCTTTGAGGTGAAGGTCCTTGAATGAGAGTGCACACGATCATTGTATCATACTGTTTACAGTTTCACTTATGATGTAGATTTTGCAATTCTTTTATACATTTTTTCACACAAATAATTTCACTTTGGATATTTATCAATGTTTAAAATGATATCATACGGAAATATAGGCCACAACATGTATGAGCGAACCTTTGATAATCTCCTGTTTGTTTGAACATTGTTTACATAACAATTGATAGGTTTATAGTGCCGAATACGATATTTCTTTCCTTTGGACAAGTGTTACAATATGAAGTGTAAATGTAACTGCAGCATGTACGTATTTCTTGGGATGTGTAATAGTCAATATTATAAGTTCATATAACCAATGTCCATGAATAGCCGTTTCATTTTATTTTATAACTAAAACTGAATATATTACTTTGACAAAATGGATAATATTTTTCGTTAAAATATATGCACACATTTCTGAAAGAATTGTCTTGGTCTTGGAATTGTTTTTTCATGTCGTTTGATACACAGAAAAGTGATATCTAACGATTCCTCTCGTTTTGAATTATTTAATCAATGGGTTCATTCTTTTTTCAATATTGTGATCACAGGATATTAAACTGTTTACTTTATTTCTCCAGGAATTGTAAAATGTATGAAAATAAAACCCTTGGCAGGTACCCCTTTGGTTCAACCGTATACGATTATCCTGAGAATTCTATACCCATAGACGTTTCTTCGCATCTTTTATTGTGTAATTCTGAGACGAGATGAAGAGAAATAATAAGATAATAATGAACAAATATATGTCCAATATTGAATACAATTTTGATTGTTTTGAAATATTCTTTGGGGTATTTCACTACGTAAATTGATGCCAAACAGGTGCGTGTCTTGTCCAATTAAGATACATGATAAACTATCTAATTGTTTACATATTCAAGACATTATTTACTTGGTGAAAGCAGTCATTTAATGTTGTGTCGAAGCGTCAAATTCTGTTTTACACATCGAGATTTTCCATACCATTAGGGGAGATATATATTAATCAAAATACCAGTGTCGTCTTTCTCCTACGTTATCAAAGACATAGAACCAGCCATGTCAAAAGGAATGGTGTTATTTTTGGGGTATTTCATTACATTTGATGATAAGGCTTGTGCTCCATTAATAATGGTGAAACATTAGTCAAATTACACCTACACAATCAGTTATAGTTATAAGTTATAGGTTGGATAGGGCCATCCATTTCCCTATTACCTCTTTTTAATGAAGTACGATTTCATAATTTCTTATGTATACGTATGCAGTTTCAATATCGATATTTGTGCTTGAATAGTTTGGTTCTTCAGGAACACAACACCACGAAAATATATTGTCCATACACACAGCTAATTCTCACCATGTGACCTGAGTTACAATAAACTAGTGCTAAGCATAGCGGAGTAGCAGAGTTTAAGCCCCCTTTTCTTTGTATGTGTGTAACCTCTCTGTCGCCTTTTAACGTCATAGAGAAAAATCAGTTTTCGTCATTTACGGCATGCTATTTTTTTGCAATGAATGTATGTCGTTACACATACGCATATAACTCCATTTGATATGACGTTATGTCGTTCAGATATTAGGCAGTATTTTGTTCACTCACAGTTTCTGTAAAGCTTCTAAATTAAAAAAATCATCACACTGTACTTTTATCTGTGTACGATAAAAAGCGCAGAAATATACTGTTTTTCAACGCAGAATAAATTCTCGGACAACACTTAGAAGTGTCTTTTCTTAAAACCGATTTAATATTTGCAGTTAAATTTACACCATCAAATATGAAATTTAATATTCCCCACCTCTGCATAATTTTATAGCCAGAGGTAGATCCAGTTGCCGCGTGAGCGCAATTCTCACACAACATTCACTTTTCTGATCTTAGGAAAATGTGCGTCAGAAAAAACTCAGCATCCAGGGGGTGTCTTCGGACATATTTCCTAATGCTATTTATTTACCTTGTCACTAAAAAGCAGTTACCAATTGTCTGTGTGTGTGTGTGTGTGTGTGTGTGTGTGTGTGTGTGTTATTTATATTCACTGTAGCGACAAATGGCAGGGCAAGAATAATATTTTCTTTAAAAATAACATTCATAGAAGTGTGCTGACAGAATGATTTGGTCTTTTTGTACACTCATTGATAACAGCCTGTTAACAACAGTGTTTTTTTTGCTATCTGTGCTGTCACAGTGGAAGTATTGAAGTAGTTATTGCTCAGGGCATATCCATTGGGTCCACTGTTACTATCTATTTAGATTAAACTCAACCCTGCAGTTGTTCAGTCTGTTGTGAGAAAAGAAGAGTAAAGAAGTATTCTATGCCACTGCTGACCTTCAAAGAACTTTGTTATTCACAATGTCCTCTCTGAAGGTTAGTCCGGTCATTTGGTATCGTAATCTTACAGGTATAGCTGTTTCAGTTCATAGCTCACCTTAGCTGTTTTGCCCTGCTTTGTTGTTGAGGGGTCTAAAGGTTGCTGTTTAATTTGTTGAAATTATCCTACCTTCAACTAAATTTTGAATTTTGAGAAAACTAGGCTTGACCTCAGTTTGCCTACACTCTAATTCACCTACACCTATATTCGCATACACAACAAGTAAACACTACATTATTGACCCCTATTTGAAAATGGGCACTTCCAGTTTTCAATGGAAGCCATTATTCAAACTTTAACTGAGATGCTTAAACAGAAGAAACAATTACAGGATTAATGTGCCTTGTACATGACTGTGATTACATGATTATCCAAACTGCGAGGTTTCTTGTGTTGTTTTAACATTTTCTCAACCTTCTTGGAGTAGTTGATCTGTTATTAATATAAAGTGATTATCGAAACTGCTTGGTTTCTTCTGATGTCTTCAGGATTCCTGTTGTAGTTGTTCCAGTACTCACAAACATCTTTGTTGTATCTACGTCTTTGTTGTTATTGTCAGTTCAGAACTAGTACTAGGAGGGCAGCAGGTTCTACATGAAGGATTTCTGTACATATTGAATGTGAAGCACCAGATCGCTATCCACTGGGAAAGTAAGGTAGAGGGCTGCAATACTTGATGTAGTACTATTGGTGATCACATCACCAGTACTCACGTCCAGAGAGTTGCAACCTTACCTCTTCTGCCAATCAACTAAGTGCAGGCTGCATGGCTTGATGTCATGGACCAGGGTCCAGATGGAAGGAAAATTGATCAATTTAACGACTATGTCACGGCAACCTTGGTTGACAATGACGCATGCAAGTGCAACTGTTTCTTTTTCTTTATGTTATCATTTATTTATGGGTTAGTCCATTTGCTGGAAGGTTGAAGGTAGTGTGACAAAGAAGACAGGTTCTTGCGATGATCCTGGGTGAAAAAAAAGAAATGCTGTTTCCGACTCAAGTCCACTTTTTACAGGACCACTGCCACTGTCATGTGACTATTATATTTATTGGGCACTTTTTTGTAGAAACATTCGTACCAAGTTATAGTATCACTAGCCCAGCAGAGAAGTTGAGCTAAAATGTGGTGTTTAAAACACAAGGGACCAGAGAAATCAGTTTGTTATATATGTTGTTTGTTATGTATCACATTTTCGCTCAAAAACGTCCACCATCTTGGACAAAAACAACAACACAATACACGCAATTGCAGCAGTGACTTGTATAAGCAGTGACCACTTCAAAGCCTTCAATTAATAACATTTCATAACATTCCTTCAATGACATTAAATTCATAACATTTTTAGAACATTGTTTATCAAATATCTGTTTCTATTAGCATTTCACGATTTACATATGGGAAGATGTATAGTCAGTGATTTTGCTCTCGCCTCATTTTGCTGACTGCATTCGTGAAACTGCATCACTGAGATACTAAAATATATAAACTCAGTATAAGCAGACCCAGTCTTGCACCTTCAACCACACTTAACTTATTTACACAATCATCTCACTATTTCTTTGCCAACCCTCGTACCCCCGCACGCACGCACGCACGCGAATACACACACATCTTTCCCCACCCCAAATCTATGCAACCATCTTACAATATCTACATCAGCCCTAATGGATCCATGCACAAATTTACATACATACTCCCTCCTCCCACCACACTGCCATACCCCTGCATCCGTCGCACTAAATCTACATCCGCTCTCATGTACATGTATTTGTACTTGTGCTTATACACATACTTACCACTCTCACCATACCACCACATCCATCTCACTATATCTTCATCAGCCCTCATGTATCCATGATCATGCTTACCCCTCCTCAGCATTCCCCTACATTCATAACACTATATAACTTTATCTGCCCTAATCTTTACATACACGCACACCCCTCACAATACCTCTGCATCCACCCCACAATAACTACGCCAGCCCTTGTGTATCCATGTTCTTGCTCAAATATCAGTTCACTATATACTTTAGTTCCCCTTTGAGCGTTTGTAAAGTATGTAAATTTTATATGTATACAGGAGATAATTGGGGATTTTGTAACAGTTCAATGTATCTGTTTGTTCGCTCCGTGTTTAACTGTCTATTCTAAGGCCATAAACAAATGTTTTGCAAGTCACATGATCTATGCTACAAACCTTTCACGCAATTCTTTCCTTGAGAATAAATAATTTGCTTAATACTTTTTGTTACATTACAAAGAGCTCTGAGAAGAGCCAAGAAACGTCACCTTCTACAAGTCCCCAAGGATATTGCCGACCTCGGACCCTCTTGCCACCAGCCTCAATAACACGGTTACTGCCAACCACAGCGAATGGTACTCGATCCTGGAAAAAAATAATTTCCTAACTGGTATAGCTTTTGTAGTGAAAAACACTTAACTTAATTTACGAATTGCCATAGGTGGGTTTAAACAAACAAATTGATGAAATAACATAGATATTTCAGTCTTGCTTGACAACAGTATAAGGATCTATACCAAAATGATTCTATAATAGTATATTAAAAATGTTAAGCATAAATTGTGTCAACTTTGTCATGTAAACTTATGTTCATATGTGCAACAAATATGTATTTGTCATTACCATGTGACCCACTTAGTTCTCACAGCTTTGTTGATTGATGGCTTGCGCCAGCAGATTGAAACTGCTTCTGTTAGTTCCCTTTTGGATTTGCACATTGTCCCAAATGTTGTGATTAGAGCAGTTGACGATGTGGTCTGAGATGTTCCTGCCATTGGTTTTCAATAGGGAACACTACAAACCAACAAGAACCTAAAGGTGTTGTCTACAAAATTAGTTGTGATGCGGCAACACCTATGTTGGTGAAACTTCCCTCCCCATAAGTGTCAGAATTAAAAAACATAGAACATCTGCCACCAAGTCAGATCGAAAATCAGCCATCTCATACCACATCATCAACTGCCCTAATCATAACATCATGTGGAACAATGTACAAATCCTATCTAACAATCTCCATGACTTCACCGAACGAAAACTGGCAGAAGCAGTTTAAATCCGCCAACACAAGCCATCAATCAACAGAGATCAAGGATACCTAATCCCATCTGCCCACAATGCCTATCGTCTAATCCTATTAATCCTATCAGCACTGTATATTTATGCCCCATTGTGTACAGTTGGCCTCTCTCTCTTATCAATCAACCAATAGCTTCTTTCTGTTTTAACTGTATCATCAACCATTTGTTTTGGTTGTTAATCCCTTTCATGTATACCCCAATACTGCTTTAGTTAATCCTTATAAGATGTCACTCTTGCTTGACAACAGCATAAGGATCTATACCGAAACGTCATATCATAATAGAATAAAGAAGTATTCCATAAGATATCTTATCTTTACTTAACATTACTTATGCCCCAGTCATTCGGAATCAGCAAGAATCAAGCAGAACCATCAGAAAATTTGTGCCACCATCGGGAGGGAATTTCAAATTGACCAGGCTTTGTAAGAATGCCGTTCAAATACTTAGAATACGCTCGAACCCGCCTCAAATGATTCTTGCACATTCTGCATGTATTAGCTCTCGAATGCAGCTCGAATGTAGTTGGAACATAGTAGGAATATTTAGAATGCTGTTAGAATGCAGTCAGAATATTTACAATGCACTTCGAATGCCATACGAGTGCAGTACGATTGGTGCCTGAATACCACCCGAAGTCTGGTTGGAAGGTGTCTCAAATGCTGTACAAATTCACCTCGAATAGTCAGTATGCACCCGGAATGGGCGCCGAAAATGGTCCAAACGTCCAAGAATTCAAATAGAATGCTGCTCGAATACTTAGAATGTACTGCAAATGTACTTAGAATGTAACATAAATCATTCAAAGTGCAATCCAGCTGAATTCTTTTAATACTGAAATATCGGCAGCAATCGAGATGCATTCTGGCTCATTCGAGGCGCATTTGGGACATTTTGGCAGAATTTGAAGTGGCATGGCGTTTCGATTCTCCCTCGAATACAATCAGAATGTTTCAAATTCTGTTGGAATGCCGTAAGAATATTTAGAATGCAGTGAGAGAATACACTTCGAATGCCGTTTGATATTTCTCCACTTCAAATGCACCTCGAAAGTTTTGAGGATGAGCACAAGAATGAATTTGGAATGCACTCAGAAGTTTTAGAATGCACTTCGAATATCAAGGAATAAACAAAGAATTTTCATTCTGATGTCATTCTGGGTCATTCTGTCTCTAGTGTGACAAGGGTTTTACCAACTTCTAAAAGTGCCAATCAAACAGTTCATGTTTTGTGCTTTCTTCCAACATCTTACCCTGAGTTTTTTCTGGAGTTTGTTCTCTTCATCATCATCACACTCTGGGAACTCATATATTTTGATCTTGTGTTGGGCAATTTCATTTAATATCTGCAAATAGGTTAAAAGAGAGTACAATCATAACATGAAACATGCAAACTCAAATTATTTGCTGAAACAAAAGCAACCGCTTGACAGCATTTCCTCAAGGCCCCTGAAATCATTACATACCCCCATTGGTTTAAACATATTTATTTCACAATAATGAGAAACTGGATTGGTAAACAAGCGAAGCGCTTATGTTAATACCGCTCCATTACACATAAGACTTGATACAATAAATACATCAGTGAAGATTAGATGTAACAATTGAATTGTACATGACAAGCTAGATGTGTATATATAATAAATATATTTGCAGTTTATATTAAACAATTCATTTACTTAATTGAAAATCTGTAAGTTTTTAATATGAAGTTTTGAATAGAATCTAATGTTTGGATTTTCTCTTCCTTATTCAAATAAGCACTGTTTGTAAAGAGTAACTGTGTTGGTAAAAACACATTTCATTCTGAAGAACATAGTAATTTGTACACACAAAAAGAAGTGTAAAGCATCTTCAGTATGATATCCCCAGGAACAAGTTTTAGTTCTAAAAAATTAGCTTGTTCATAAGTACAGTTATTCCAAATATGATAAAATTGGTAAAACAAATGATTTGCACATAGTTTCTAAGGTAGTTCGGGATAGACGATATCTTTAACTTTTTAAACAATTAACCAGAGGACAACATTTGCTTGCAATATCATCACCGTGCATTTTCCATGTACAATTACTTTGTAAAGTAATACCTAGGTGCTTATGACTTTGTACATCTTTGATTTCTGTACCATTCATATATAAGTTAGGTTTGCGACTAGGATTTAATTTACGGGCAAATTGAATAGATTCAGTTTTATCGGGACTAAATTTAACTTGCCATCTAGCAGCCAATTCTGAAATTCATTATTGAGATTATGAGCAGCTATATCAGGATCTTCTATGATCACATACAAATGATCATCAGCAAAAAGTCTTAAATTACTATTTATTCCTTCAACAATATGATTGAAATTGATAATAAACAATAATGGTCCCGAGACCAAGCCCTGTGGCACACCTTTTGGATCTGAGCTATAGCCATTTATAACTACCTTTTGATATCGATTTTCTAAGTACCTATCAAACTATCTCAATAAATTTCCACAGATACCATAATGTTTTAGCTTATAAATTATTCCTTTTTACCAAACTTTATCAAAAGCTATACTTATGTCGCAAAATACAGCTCTAACTTCCTTATCTTCATCTAAAGCCTTTGCAATAAAGTCATAAATATGTCAAATGATTTGAGGTGGAGTCACTCTGCGTGAATCCAGATTGTAGGTTAGTGAGCACATTATTATTCCTTAAATACATGTTTAAATATACATTTTTCAAATATCTTTGCGAAACAACTTGTGAGCACAACCGGTCTGTAATTTGTACATTGATTTACGCTATTTTACTTATGACCAGGAATTATTGGAGCTTCTTTCTATAGTGATAGGAACATTGCTCGTTGAAGAGAGAAATTGTATAGTTTAGTAAGGATTGGGGCTAAACTGTAAGCTGTGTTTTTAATAGTCAGGCAGCTTAGCAAGATGATGGGTACATGCCAAATAAAAGCACCAATTTTGTTCCACATGCTCTCCATTACCATAGGTTTCAATTTTTTATGGGAGCCACTTAATGAAGGTGGCAGATGGTGGCCATCTTGGATTTCCAAAATGGCCACCATGTAAAATCTATAAGTGCCAATATCTCGGCTTCCATGACACTTAAAAGGTCAATATTAGGGTCAAAATATATACTGAACAACAAAAGTTCCTGTCACATTGAATAAGATTTAATGCAAAGTTATGTTTTTTACCAAATCTGAAACAATTTCGGTTTGCAACAGATAAAAGACTCCTGTAAGTGTTCAAATGGTTTAATTTGCCATACTGACTTCAGAAAATGCGTGATTTCATAAAAAAACCATGAACATGCCAAAATGTCAATAAACAAATCAATAGCGTGCAAGCAACACATCTTTGTCTCATGGAATGGACCAGGGAACCGTTACCGACAAAGGCTATAGGACTAGTACTAATTTCTAACGCTGAAACAGGCATGCCAGTAATGTGGACTAAAAGGGCTGATTAATGTGTAAAATGGAAATTACTAACAAGACCAGCTAATGGCAGTCATGTTTAGAATATAATCAGAACTCCATGTGCACAGCGTCAATGACACCACTGATGTGATCTTCCCAGTCAGAGACTTCACCCACATGTCTAAATCCCAAGTCTAGTAAAACTCTTTCCGGTTTAGTAAGCTCAGCAAATATAGTCTGAATAATAATGCTAAATTCTACTGAAAATAATGGAAAGAGCCAAGTTTGAGCTCATTGTCTCAAAAGTGTTTATCACAGACTGTTACCCACACAAAGTTTCACCTTTACAGGCCTTACAATTTCAAAAGAAGTGAAAATGTACGACAGAGAGACAGATATTTAGACAGACATATGACTAAGAAAACAATTTTTAAAGAGTTCTTACAATTTAAAATATTTTGTCTATTTAATAAAACAAGAATCTACAATGATATTCAATGCTATGAAAAAAATTATAATGGGTAAACAAATCCTCCAAAAGTTTCAGGTTCATCTCTGGTCAATTTGGAGAAGTAAAACTCTCAAAGGGCACGTAAAGTCAACATAGCAACTTTGCAGATTTAATAGTTTTGTAGAATTTTCCTATTCGGAATATTCTATAAGTAATACGTTACCACTGTCATACCGAGGCTGTTGTCTCCCACAACTGCTGCTATAGCGAAATCTACCACAGAGATCTCAATTACCTCATGCAGCACGTGCGTAGCCACCTAGCTGCCATGTGACACCCTTCACTCTTGTCTCTAGCGAGAGCAAGTGCTCGGGGGACGGACGGACAAGCATCAACCCAGTGGTAACGTATTACTTATAGAATATTCCGAATAGGAAAATTCTACAAATTACATTAAGTAATATGTTACCACTGTTATACCGTGGCTGATTACCACAGTAGGCGGTGGGGAGCACCTACAACCCGAACCTGACTGCTTGTGTTCCCTCCGACCAGCGGAAGTAAACAACAAGGCAGAAGCACTCGATGCGCATGCTCCTAGCTCGGCGTTACACTATAGGAATACCAAAGCAATGTCAAGCGCATACCGTAAGGCTCAATCGTCTTTGCCAAACGATTGGTGACTCTAAACGGCCCCACTGGATAGGTATTTCATCGCCGCAGCGGACATTGGAGAAAACCCAGATTGACCACCGTGCAAGGTCTGAAGCCTGAGGAGTTCGGAATTGCGCTGGGCACACTCCTTAGATGACCATTTGTGCCGCGATCAGTGGCCCAAGACGGTGCAGTGCACACCCTCCACGTCTTCATCAGAAACCTTTCTGAGGTAATGATTGGCAAATACCGAGTCAGAACGCCAGTAACAACCTCTTAATATTCTGTGAACAGAGATATTAGAGTGTAGGGCAAATGTTTGACCCCGCAACCGGTAACCCCAGAGACCAGTACGCCAGATTGATGACAGAACGAAGCTGTAACGCAATCGAGTCCGATTAGGGTTACACGATATGAACAGACGGTCACGCCCTTGTCTGCGTTCATTCAAAGCCTTAAGATAATACTTAAGGGCCCTAACCGGACAGTGATCTGTCCTCAGTATCAGCAGGATGTAAGATTTCCTTGAATGATCTTACAGTGAGTTCTCTCTCCGTTTAGCCAAATTTCTGATTCTTAGTGACGAAGCCCATGAGCAGGCCCAGGCGGACCGTCATTCGTCGCCCCTATCGAATCGTACTTTAGTGACATCGAGTGCATGAATCTCAGACACACGTGCCGCCGAGAAATGCTGTTTTCCAAGTCACATGCCGAAACGAAGCACTACTCAAGGGTTCATACGGAGCTTCTGTAAGTGATTTCAACACTAAGGAAAGATCCCAGGCCGGTGCCCGAAGGCGGCCTTTCTTAAGATCTTCCTGTTTGAAACCCTTGATAATACCCCAAATCTTTTGAGAGACTGGTACCCATAGCAATGTCCTGTACCGTAGCAACGGAAGAGACATAGTTGGCAATGGAACCCCCGGAGAGTTTCCGGGTCTCTCGTAAGTGAGACATGAAACGAGCAATATCCTGCACAGATACCTTATCTGGCGAATGAATGTGATGTTTACAACACCACTTCGTGAAAATAGCCCAACGTGCATTATACACCTTCCGGGTAGAATCATGATGCATACTAACGTATGCCCGAGACGCCCAACGAGAAAAACCTTTACTCCTCAGTCGCTCAGTGACAACATCTGCCCTGCCCTGCGTTTGGATGAAGCTTACAGGTGTGAGGGTGGATCAGGAGATCCAGTCTCACAGGCAGTGGAAGTGGTGACTGCGTGACCTGGGCCAGCAAGTCCGGGTACCACGATCTGTTCGGCCACATGGGCGCGATCAGCAACATTCGACAGCGAACTCCTCGGAGCCGGCTTGGAACGAGTGGTATTAACGCGATCGGCGGGTAAGCATAAGCGTCCATGGCGACGGTCGCAGTTGGAGGAGACCCCGATCAGTGCAGTCCTGGGATGACACAAGTAGCCCTAACAGCTGTTCCCAAAAGTAAAGTCTGTTGCACCGCTAAGACTTTGGCAATCATCACCTGAATCTTGTGCCACCGGTCTGGGGGGACAAAGAGGCGATGGGTCACCGTGTCGAACCGACCTCCGATGAACTTCAAGTTCTGTGAGGAGGTTAACTCGCTCTTTGGGAGATTGACAATCCACCCCAATTGCTCCAAGAGCCGAAGTGCGAAATTCGAGCTGACGAGACAGCACGTCTGTCATCCGATTTGCTACTAGCAAGTCGTCCAGGTACGCAAAGTACCTGACACCCCTCCTGTGGAGGAACACCACTATGGGGGTGGTTAACGGGGTGAACAGCCAAGGAGCGGAGTGCAACCCACTCGTAATGCCTGCCTTGAAAGACAAACCTGAGATACTT